TTTATAAGATATTTTTCTTACGTTATCTTTTTCAGCCAAATCTACACAACGAAGGATGTCTGATATAATTTCAATGCTAGTTAATGTATATGGAAGTCAAGATTTATTTGTTAACGAATATCGTACGTTATTAGCGGATAGATTACTTTCTCAATTAAATTACCATACGGAACGAGAAATTCGTCATTTAGAATTATTGAAAAGAAGATTTGGAGAAAATCAGTTACATTATTGCGAAGTTATGTTAAAAGACGTATATGATTCAAAAAGGATAGATGGAAATATTCAATCGGATACTAGTTACAGTTTAGAAAAAGAACATTTTCCGACATCTGCCCTTATATTGTCTGCACAATTTTGGCCACCGTTTAAGGAAGATTGGAAATTGGAATTACCTAAGGTTGTACAGGATCAGTTGAACAAATACGTTAAGGCGTTTGAAGCTTTAAAAGGAAATAGAACTCTTTGTTGGAAACCGCATTTAGGAAATGTTAATCTTGAAATTGAATTGAAAGATAGAAAATTGGATATTAACGTGACACCAATACACGCTACGATTATATTACATTTTCAGGATAAAAGTAAAATATAATCTAATCAATTATTCAATTATATCTTCATAACACACTTCAAAAATTTGATTATATACTATATTATTTACAGAGGAATGGAATTTAGAAGAATTGGCACAAGTGATGCATGCTCCTGCAACGGTACTCAAACGAAAAATAACTTTTTGGGTTTCTCAAGGACTTTTAAAAGAAATCTATAATGACGTTTTCGTACTTCAAGAAGAAAGTTCATCGAAGAATAGAACTTTGCCGGATATCGTCGAAGAGGAGGAAGCTGAAAGTGCAATGGCTTCTGCGAGCGATCAAAGAGAAGAAGAATTACAAGTTTTTTGGTCGTACATAGTTGGAATGTTAACTAATTTAGATTCTATGCCGTTGGAAAGAATTCATCAAATGTTAAAAATGTTCGCCTCTCAAGGTCCAGGCGCGGTTGAATGTGGATTACCGGAGTTAAGACAATTTCTTGATGGAAAAGTTAGGGAACATCAATTATTATTTTCTGGTACTCTTTATCGACTACCTAAATCGTGATAACATTAATTTAGCAATTTAATATTGTTACGGTTGAGTTTATAAACATATATTGTATATTCGTTTTTTATATATGTATATATTTTTCGACATTTAAAATAAAAAAGAAAAGAGAATTTTATATATATGTATATGTATCATCGCTTTTACTGCTGATTATTACTGTTTTGGATTTATTTTTTATCTATTTTATGGATGATTTTATATATTAATTTGTTTATTAGAATTCGAGCGGATATAGTTACACGTTAGAATAATAATAAAAACAAGCAATACTGTGATTTTGTTGATTTATTCAATGATTGTTAGTTAAACGCTCTAATGCTAACAGTTTTGTGTAATAAAAATATTTCTCTCGTGCGCAATTTAAACACAGAAAGTAAGTGTTAGTCTACACTTAATTTAGTAAAGTGTAGAATGGTGTGTATGTACATAGATCGTAAATTGCACCATTATGTATGTATGTATGTATGTGAATTCATATTTAATTAAACGTACGCATTTTCACATTGCAAATATTGCTACGAGAATAAAATAATACTTTAATAATGATGAATATTGTTTATATATATAATCAAATTAGTCATATGAGATAAAGCTAAGTCATCGTTACTCGAATTCTATGAGCAACTTCAAACCGTTATTTTTATTAGCATAAACTCTTATATACACAATTGTTATTTCATTAATTATTGCCAATAATATTTACGAATAATTCACAATAATTCCTTCTCATCGTTCTCGTTGATCTTCTAATTAAAAAATTCACGGGGTGCATGTCTGTGTGTCATCTTTATCAATATTTTTAAATGTCAAAATAAATATTTTCATTATCTATTGCTCCTCAAAGTTCATTTCCATCGTAATAAAATATTAGACTTTTTGGTTAAAATAAAGCTACTTGATGAAGTTTTTGTTTTCATATATATTTATCTAAATTTGTATTTCTATATTCTTTGAACACGATTTTTAGCACTTATATTTTATCTGTGTAAATTTAATAGCCCATTTTCGGTTCGATGCTTCCTTTCTACTTTTTTTTACAGTTTAGCAAAAACCGAAATGTGTTATTTCTGTTTTAAAGACGTTGCTGAGTTGAATTATATTGCAGATTGTGATATCTTCTTGTATTACATATTTTTAAAAATATTTATCTTTATATATCTATGCTTACAATTAATTATTAATTAATTATTTAATTTATATTTATTTATTCATTTATTTTGCAACGAATTGCAAATAATAAATTCTCGTAGGTAATAATATAAAGTACTATAAGCATTTTCTTTAATCAGATCTTAAACAGAGATTTCCAAACAAATTAAAAATTATCTGCGTTTTTTCTGCTTACATATTAATATTGCCACATATCCTGCACATAGTTGTCGACAAGTATATATGTCAACAACGTTGAAATAAAATATGAAACTAAAAAATAGACATTATAATAATAATAATAATAATAATAAATTTCGACCGAGAGAAAAAAAAGAAAAGGAAAGAAAAATTATTTAACCCTAACGCAATAAAAAAAAAAAAATACTCAGATTATAATATAATTTCTAACAAAAATTGCTTGCCCGTATATATCATATAATTTCTTAAATATAATTTATATGTGCACATGTATATGTATATATATATATATATATTTGCATAAATATATATTAAGGTAAAGGTACCAAGGTAGTCGACCAGTTTTTAGAAAAAAAAAAATAACATCTTTATAAGTTGTGTACTTCTGAACTTTTGGTCAATTTCTGAAGCAATTACTGAATGTTTAAATATGTTTTTTAAATATGCATATCTTAACTTTTTTTTAAAAAACAGTCTTGTCACGTAATCTAGAAGGCTTAAAAGCTGTCTTTAGGTATCGATTTTCGCTATTTAATGGTAGAGGAAATGGTTACTATTGTTTGCGTGAAAGATTTCTGTTAACTGATCAACTACTCTGGTACTTTTACTTTAAATGAAGTACAAATAAATAATGCTTAGAAAATGATTTACAATTTCGATTATAATTTCTTATATATGAATAATAAATGTAATTTTGAGAAAAAGAAATAAAGTAAATGCTTAAAACATTCGATGTATATTACATTAACGATAGAATAATAAAGGTCAAGGCATTATTTATTTATACTATTTAACACATTCGTTACCAGTGTTGCAACTCCGGGAAACTTTGATTTTTCTTAGAGAGATAGCAGCGTCATACATTTGTGATACTAATCAATGTGAAAAATAAGTTTTGGGCTGTAATTGGAGTCTCTTACCCGCGGTTCGTGGTAGCGAACGTGTTACATTTTTAATTATTTCAGTAAATATGTATAATGTGTTGGTAATCGCATAAGAGCACATATAGAGAATGACATTTCTATTGTAACATGTAATATACGCATAATTGTTTATGGACGCTTATGCGTATGTAACATAAACAAATGTGCACACTCTTCAAAGCTTGTAAAATAATAATATTTATATAAATATAAGACAATGTGATATATATTTCTATTGATTACACATATGCGATAATAAAATAATCAGATATTATTTCACATAATGAGTTTAAGTAGATTTCAGATCACTTTTTTTTCTATATCATAGCTGTGTACTTTTTAGCATCTATGTACAAGAAAGACAAGCTATTTGTGTCTCTTGCAAAGAGACAAACCTTTTTTCTCTATCTCGACAATCTCAGAAAATATTTAAACTAAACGACGAGGCAGATAATATTACATTTTGAAATATATAAACTATACAGAGAAATAAATGTAAACTAAAAACTCTTATAAATTACATATACATATGGCAGACCTAAAATTCAACAAAGTGCAAATTAATATATGATGTTAATCAATATTAAGTAAATCAATCAATCTCTCACGCAATCGCTCTCCTGCACATATGAACATATACATACAAGATTGTGTATGTATGTGTGTGTATTTATATATCTTAATATAATATATAATATAATAATAGATAATATAATATATATATAATATATGATTTAATATAATATAATATATTATTATTAATAATAATAATAATAATTTTGCAGCAAAAAGTGATAACAACAGATCTATCTTTTATTCAATATTATTGCCCATTGCATTTTATCATCGTATAAAATCATACGCATTTATAAAAAGCATATGCCTCTTGAATTGCCCCTTTTATTGTTATATTTTTAAATGTTTATGATAAACTTAAAAATGTCTTGCGGCATATTTCTATAAACTCAACAAAATTTTAACGACGTTATATAATTACTTTTAGTAACTATATAACGTACTTAAGTATAGAAGTACTTTTAAAGTACCTTTTTTTTATACTAACATAATATATATTTTACTTATACATATTTGTTAACACATGCAATGCGTACGTATAAGTTTTCCCGATTTACGGACAAGAATACTTATAAAATTTTTAGTCCTTGTTATTACATTTTATAATTTTACAGTCGAAAATCTTTTACGAAATCTAACAATAAATCTAATCATTGATAGGTAAAAAAAATCGTACGAGAAAGAAAAAATCTAATGTATCATCAAACTTTGAATTTTGGCACAATTAATATGTGTATGCATATACCACGTCTAATATCACTCTCTCGTTCAAGCTTCCACTTATTTCAAGACGAACAATTAAATTATTTTAATGACTTCATTAAAACATATTTTATGTCTTTCCAACACACAGAGGTAATTCGATTTAGAATAGTTTTACCTGTTCTTCATTTAACTTTCCTCTTGCGTGGATACCTGTTTACTGTGTGTGTTAGAAATTAGAAATTAGAAGTTAGAGATTAGGGAAAAACAAAAATCATTAACGCTCTCCACACGATCTGTATATATGCAATATTATCTATAATATTTTGTTTTTTTTTTCTTTTTCTTTATCTTTTTAAGTTGATATACCGTCGCTCGCTTTCTTATGTTGCTGCTACATTAGCAGCAGTAAGTACTGTAAAGCCAATATTTATTAATCTCGCCGCCGCTCATGGAAAACAATGTTTTTTTTTCCTAATATGTGGTTAAATCTATTATTAATTCTTTTTCTTTCCTATTGAATTTAATAGAGTTCACCGACCATCGACTACATCGTTATTATTCAAGTTTAACCGTTCCAATATTACCTTTTTTGTTCAGTGTTATTTATTATGAAACTATTTTGCTATCTTTTAAGAAAGTAAAGTAAAAATAAAAAGAAGTGATCCGAACATCCTAATTTAGTACCAACATTCGAGGTTTTATTTTTGCTATTGTTACTATCATTGTTTATGTATAAACAAAAAAATAATAATGTAAAAATTGCATTGGGTTCGTCCGTTTGAAAAAAAAAGAAGTTATTTAATTAACAAACGAGATCAATTGAAAATTTGTTCTCAGGAGATAGCTGCAAGATTTATGGGTGGAACGTTAGATCCTAATGTGAAGATGTTAAATAATATTATAATCGGACGCGGACGGACGGACGGAGAAAAATGATTTAATGATATATCCCGATTTGAACGTATGTATATTTATATATGCATATATTGGGTTGCCCGAAAAGTTTGTACCATATATTTATAAATATATGATATAATCGAACGTTGCTGATCGGTAATAAGATTAATTTTGATGCATTATGCGTAAATAAAGTATATTGAAGTTTATTTGGAGGTTCTCATTTTATATATATAAGTATATAAAACTACTCCGACGTTCTACGGTTTTCACTCAAAAGCACCGATCAGTAAGGTGTTTAACATTTCCGGACAACCTAATATATAAAAATATATAAATATATGTATATATATATCTCTTAGAATACCAATCACATGATAAGAGAACCAAGGATTGTATTTTACATAAATGTATTAGATGGGAACAAATGTTTGTATTATGTTTATTGGAAAACTTTACAAACATTTATTCCAATCCAATATTTATGCATGTATGTATGTAATGTATGGATTTATCTATCTATCTAACTAACTAACTCTCTAACTATTTATCTATCTATCTAATTAACTAATCTGTGTAACTATCTATCTAATCTATTAACGAAAAATACGAATTTGTTTGAACATCAAGAGGATACAGGATGGATAAGCTTGACGAACAGGGCTGGTGACGCGGACGGCGAAGGTGGTGTCGGCTGGTTGATGATTCGATCGAATGCGCGGATGCTGTTCCAGAGTCCAGGTGTTAGCACGGGACGAGTGGATTCCATTGTTAGCACTCCAAGCCTACAGGCCATGGGCAACCAGGGTTAACAAGAAAGAAAAGAAAACAGTTTGTTAGTATTCTGATTATGACTGACCGACGTTAACATTTAAGTATCTAAAATAGCTTGTCAGCTGAGAGATATGGTTAATGGAAAGCAATGCTCTTGTTTTGTTTTTTTCATTCATTATTCTTTTTTTAATATCTATAATACTTAAGGTGTATTATACCTCGTGTAATAAGAGATTATTAAAACATATATAATTGTGAATGGTTAAGAGATTTTACGTTTTTTTTCTTTTGTTGAAAAAAAAAAAACAAAACTATGTTTATCCAATTATTACCCCGACAATATAATTACACATAAATTGGTTAATATAACATATATCTAATTTTGTTTAATTTCAGATTATATACATAAATATATATATAAAACGAAATGAAGGAGATAGAGAGAAGTAAACTCCTATATATGAAAAAGATGCAAAAGTGTGAGAGGAACCAGCAGCATTGCTTTACACTTGTGTCACTTGTAAATAAATATTAGTTTGAAGCGTTTGTGATTCGTACATATCGTGAGAGATTTCATTCTCGACAAATAAATAACAAATATACAACAATTAAATAATATAACATTTAGATAAAAAATAAATTTGCATTTTTCGTCCACACAATATAGTACGAAATCACATTGTAGTTTTTATTGTATTTTTTAGTTATTATATTCGGTAAACATTTTTCCGTCAGAAGAAACTTTTTTCATTCTTTTTTTTCTGTGTGTGCTTTTGTTTTAATTCTACATTCTCACTTTTTTTTTTTTTTTAATATATATTTTTTAATTTTTTTTAAATATGGCTCATGTACTCTCCCCGCGCATAGGACAGCCACAAAGACTATAAGGCATTTGTAAAAAAGGATAAGTGACTAAAAATGATAACAAAATACGAATACAGATTAGATGTATCGATAGAGATGCAAAATTATTAAAGTATATAGAAAATTAAGTTTGTAGCACTATATATATGTATTTATATATATATATATATATANTATATATATATATACATATATATATATATACATAAATGATAAAGTATTGTATTATATATATATGTTGTGTATAAAAATATATATAATTAATAAATATATATATATATACATGTATATAGTAATCGCGCCATTACACATGTAAATCGTTATTTTGACATAACATTATTGGTTTCATACAAAAGGCAGCTTAGGGTGTGCACCTGCCACCACCAAACTGCGCCGATAATTAAAAATGACATTATACATAATGAAAATACTAATGCATCGTTATTTTGTAATATTATTATTATTATGTGGAATCATATTATATTAATTATAGTGATTAATATCCCATCAGCAAGCAGGTGTCAGAGGCTCATGAGTTAGGCACGTGCCATAATGTAGGACAGATCTATAGTACAATTCCAGGCATTTCCAAAAAGCATATTATTTTTTTTTGTTTGTCTTTTTTTTGTACAGTATTAACTAAAATATTTATTAAATGTATTTTTTTATGCCTTACATATATATGCGTGCGTATGTATATGTGTGTTTTACGTTCAAGTACAATGTGTTCTTGTAGATAAAATTGTAAGTCAAGTCAGCCATGTAAATTTGTGCTAGTGTTTTGCGTGTGTGTGTATGTGTGTTTGTATTTTTACATATAAAGGCACACGCGTATACACACACATATATATGCATGTATAAAATAGAATCAAAGTTAGTGTCAACTTGGCCATGTGGAGCATTTTTGTTAGTCTTATAAAATACGGTGCAATTGTGCAGTAGTTTTATGTAATGGATGATATTTGCGTCTATGATAAAAAAGGGTGTCAATTATATCAACTGTGAGAGAAAATAATAAATAAATAATAAAGAAGTTAATGTTAGTGCTAATACAAAAAAAAAAGGGTTGGACACCATCTCCGACAGCATTTTATCCTACTCTTAAAATATATATAGAAAAAATACAATCGAAATTTTCCTACTCCTGTAGACTATTATCCAGATATCACGAATCACGTGTTATGTGAGTAAATTATGTATACGCGTAAAAAGAAAAAACAAAAATAATAGACATTTATCGACGATAAAAACGATTTATATACAAAGTTTGCAAAAAATAAAATGTTCGTTTATGAATATACCAAAAATACTAACAATTTTCAAACTTATAAATTCCTATACCGATAATGATTTATATATATAAATAAATGCTTAAATCGTATTATTTTTCTTAATTAAGCAAACGTATGGAACACGGAAAGCAAACTTAACTGATAGAAACGTCCTGTAATAACAAAATAATGTATTATGAACCTTCGAACATCGTATCGCGTTACCATCCCTGAAGTCTTTTGTACGAATCAAGAGATCTTTCATTCATATAAATATTTATTTCATTCGTATAATAATAATAATAATAATAATAATAACAATAATAATAATAATTAATAATAATCATAATCATAATCATAATTAATCATAACTATAATAATTATACTACTAATAATAATTAATATTAATAATAATAATAATATAATAATAATAATTATTATTTAATCATACGTGTGTATATATATATAGATGTATGTATAATTTTATATACATTTTAAATGGAAGATCAATAAGTGTTCCACAGGCACAAGTTGCCAAGAGAGATATATATATATATATATGTGTATATATATAAAAGAAAATGCAAATAAACATAATTTCCTAGAAGCATTTACAATAACAGACGGCGACTGAAAAATCTTAATTTTACGTTTTAAGCACCAAATAATATTTCACTGTCCTCTCTCACACCAAACACCAAACTGCCCCTATCCTGCTCACAAATAAATCAAATTCGCTTTTTTATGTGATTATTTTTATTCTTTTTTGGTTTCTTTCGAATCCTCGATGCGTCAGGGAAGCTAAAATTTTTTTGAACAAAAATATCGATATTTGAAGTAAAATAAAAAACCCATAATGCTCTTAGTTTACATATGTAAATATCGTGCGGATGGGGGGGAAGGTGCTCACCCACATCTAGCATTCGCTGGAGAGAATTTGTTCTTTTTCTCTCTTTTATGGCCTTAATAGAAAATAATAATAGTAATAATAATAATAATAATACATGTGACGACAGGAAGTTGTTCCTTCCTAAAATTGCTTAGACCTAAGAGCGGGGAGTTACGCCAAAGTATATGAACGTAATAAACGTTCTTCAAATTGTATCCTTCGTGTTTGATTCATTGTTATTATATTTTTTTTTCCTTTCCTCTTTTTCGTAAATAATAATACTCTACTTCATTATTACCAAGACTTAGGGCCAAGCATCTATGCACATAAATATCAACTGATATTTTATTTTCTCCCTGTTTCATGTAGACGTATATACGTAAAGGTAAATTTACACGATCATTCGTTCTTTTATAAAATGTGATGTAAAAAAAAGAAGAAAAAAAAATAAAAAAAAAAAAAAAATAAAGAAAAGAATAATAAAAAATTAAACAAAAAGAAAATATATAAAAAGAAAATTAAAAAGAAAAAAAAAAAATAAACTGACAACAGAAAGACGACTATTTTGTTTGTTTTTTTTTCTTCTCATAGAGGTAGGGGCAAATCGTGCGATTATATTAATACTTTCAAGTATTTTTTTTTTCTTTTTAAATAATATTAAAATAATATTAAAAACAAATAATGATTTATAAAAAAATTTCCGTATAAAAAAGAAGAGAAAAAGAAAAAAAATACAGTGGTTTCATATAAGATTAAAAAATAAAAA